GCTTTAGATTGGAGTACCACGTTGAAAGAGAATTCAGACGTCTACAACGCCTATAATTCAAGATACTTTTTTTTTTTTTTTCGTGTTACACATTCTGCTCCAAGGATGAATTTTGGCTCTCTACACAATCGATAAATATCACATAAAGGTTTAGCTTTTTCAAAAATATACTCTAACGAATATACTTCTAATTTGCGAAGGAGGAAAAAAAAAACACATTCCATTTTTTCCTCTGCTTAATCTATAATTCTAACGACAGAAAATTGATAAGAGATGTAATGAAACTTAACAGAAGAGGAAAAAATATATGAAATTAAATGTTAGCAACTACAAATTAGTCAATCAGTTGTAGAATGTTTGAAAACTGTCGTGACACGTGAAGTTGTTTTTTTTACATTATTTCGTTAGTCTCGTGAAGTTTCCTTTATAAAGAAAGTTACATTCTGTATTATTACGTTCGTCGATAAAGTCTATCATGATTTATGTCTCATTCTACCAGCTTCTAGCTTTATTGTAATTAAATTACCTCATATGACAATATCTAACATAAATTTACACTTATTTTTTGTGATTTATTAGTACTTATTCGATATAAAATTTATTTTATTTAGAATATAATTAAAAATTTTATTATTTAATAAAAATCTGATTGTAATTATATATTTTCTATAAGATAATTTTATAAATAAATCCTAAAACAAGAAAATAATAATTTATGAGTTGAGTAAGTTTAGACCCATTTAGGAGAACGTTGTCCAGGTGGAGTATCCCCCAATTTAAGTGGAGTGAACGAAAACAAATGGAATCTTACCCATTTCAACGTCAGAAACTGGCACAGAAAATCTTTTAATACCCCTGGGTCTTTACTATTTGTCACGTGATGACGTGTCAGTGTGACACGATCGCTATTGGAAGAAGCTGAAGAGCAGTCCCCTCCCGATAAGAGATTAAAACTATCATTTTATTGTCTGCATCTTGCTTAATCCTCCAATTTTTTAAATCTTTTTCTTCTATCTAAACTTAAGATAGCATAAAATGCTATTGTTCTTAATTTTTGAATAAGTTGTGTTACTTTTAGAAATGTTTTTACAAGGAAAATTAATTTTCTTTTCTTGTTTTTCTTTTTATCTTTTATTAACAAGTTAATGAAAGATTAGATTATAATACTTTTTATACCGTAAATGTTTTTGTAATCCTTAAAAGGTTTGAAAGTATGCTCCAATACTTCTGTATTGAATNATAACTAACAATTAAAAAATAAATAAATAAATAAATACATTTAAAATAATTTTGTTTTTTTTTTAATAGAATAAATGACAATTATAATTTTAAAAACTTTTTAACAAAGAAAAAGAATTAAAATTAGTTTTGCTACAGAGTCGCCATCTGTGATTCAATTTTAACATTAAATTCCTCATCCATTATGGAAAAAAAAATGTTATACGAGAAGGATTGAAGTTTAAAATTACAAAAGAGAGTAAACGATACAAGAGAAAACACTAATAAATTAATTTAAAATAACTTTTTGGTGCTTTTTTTTATTTTTTATTTTTATAGTAGAGTTTGTAGACTGGAGCTATTTATCGTGGATTTTTCTATAGTGATAGCAATTTCTTCTTAAGGTTAAATGGACGAAGAGTAAGTGAAGTGGATTTTTTCAAAGGAAAGCTGTCGCTTTTAGTAGCAATGGCCGCAGCCATTGGACACGTTGGTGTACAATCTATCAAGTCTTTTATGAAGTTTTACTGCCGGACAGAAATGGCCGAGCCATATCCCCGCCATCTGCTTGGCTGTTGAGCCTGTGGGATAAGGTTTTTATGGCTAAGGGATTACTTCCTTCTGGCCGTGCATCCAGACAATGTAAACTCTGGCCAATCATCTACCACTGAGAAGGTAGTCGGCTCGGCCATAAAGCCGCTCTAACAAATTAATATATCTATCAGTGGCACGCTTGTCTTGAAGATATACTTTAACTTCTTATTCTTTTTACTTGTATTTTAACTTTCTTACTTTCTTGAACTAAGATGGATTACGCGTAAGAAGGTAAAAACTTCTCCCATAAGAAAGAAAAAAAAAAAGAAAAAATTAAAATATAATGATTTGTCTACTTNAAATCTCTAAATAAACATATAAATAACTTCTAAAAGCTTCAAACAGTATTCTTAAGATGTACAGTATAGTATATGAATACATTCTAATCATTTCAAAATAAGTATTTATACGTTTTAAATTACGTTTATAATAATAATAATAATAAATAAATTACTTGGAAAAATAAAATTAATCTAAATTCATTAATAATCGATTATTTAGATAATTTAATTTGTTTTTCATTTCATATGTCTTTCTGGAATTGTTTGATTAGAGATGATAAATGTGTTCTTATGGATGCAGTTTTTGGCTCTTTGCCTACCTTCATCATACTATTAGATAAATAGTCAGTGGAAACATTTTTAATCTTTACACACACACACACACGGGTCCTCATAATAGCTGGTTGGTAAATAGTAAATCATTATTTACAAATAGTTTCTAGTAAAAGTAAACACGTGAAAAGTTTTGTGAATGAAAACAACTTTCCTTTTCGTTTAAGGAAGAGAAAAGTCTCGATTAGCAATTCATCTTTAAACCATTAACAACTTTTTTCTCCCCCCTCCCCCTCTCTACAATACCGAAGATAGCTCTGGTATGCTTTGATTAATTCTTAATATCTAAATTGAATAATGAAGCTATTAATTATGGCAAAAGTGAATTAAGTAGCGAGGAATGCTTCATAATTTATCATTTTTTATGGAGGCGGTTACGGAATGGTGGTTACAAAAATACACTTTTGTACAAAATATACCAATTTACATTGGATTAAAAATTGAATATAAAATTTTAAAAATATATTTAATAAAATCGATATTTTTTTAAAAAAAAAACAATCAATTATATCATGGAATAAGGTTATGTATTTCCTTTTTTTTTCTTCTTTCTTTTTCCTTCCTCTTCCGTTTCTATCAGTAATACAAATCTCATCCAAAAATACTTCATCATAGATAAAAATCTTTTAACTTTTTTTTTCGTAGAATCTATTTTTTAAAGAGTTGTTACATATTGGATAAGATGTCAAAGTCGATGCGTAATTAAGTTCTTTGTCTAGTTTATCACATCTACATGTGACATCGTCATCCATTCAGTCAACGTAAGATACTGTCAAGGCATTTCATCAGTACGTAGACCCTCTGAAGGATAGTGGAAAACTTATAAAGAATCCCCCTCCCCAAAAAAAAATTACCTTTAAAAATCATTCAAAATTTTCATAGATAAGTTATAAATATATACGAGTTATTGAAGAAAATCATACAATTTTGATATAATTTATAATCATTCTGTATGTTACTAAAAGCCTTAATGGATCATTAACTTGGTAAAGGATGCTTTGTCTGTAGGGGCAAAGTTTGATATGGGTAATGCCTGACGGGGGAATTGTCACTCTACTAAATATCACTAGAAATGAAACATGTCAAGATTAGGATGTGTCAAAGACTGCTATCTGTCATCTACTACTTGGCTTCTATACTCCGCTTAATCCATCAAAATATAAATTAAATTGTCTGCTTTTTTTATATATATATATAAAAAACTTATTTTATAATTAGGTTGTAAATTTAAAATTTCGAAGGTATAAAAAAAAATCTAAAATAATAAAAAAAAAAGATGTAAAATCTAAGATTTTATGACATAAATCTAATATTTTTTTTGAAAGTTAATCTTTAAAAATAGTTTAAATTATACTTCTGCATAAGATATTAAACTTTTCAGCATACTTATAATGTTTTTAGGTTAGATGTATGCTATGTTTACTTTATCTACATAATTCCATATAGTAAAACATTCCAATAAAATTACCAGGCTCTTTGTACGCTGATAAGTTTTGATACCGTAGTGAAGGGCCCTATACGCCTCCTGAGATCTCTATAGTCGTATAGGGCCCTCTAATACGGATCCTCTGATATTTACATACTCACTCTTATAACTATATATTATACACGAATTATAAGATTCTGTATATAAAATCTTATAATTAATAACCTTTATTCTATGATTTTACGTACAAAATAACTCTAAAGTCTTTATTCATAGACACATTTCCATTATTATTATTATGCATGCAATTATAGGTCATACCATTTAGCCCAATGTACTGTATATAGAAACTTCTTCTTCCCCTCATCTGATGTTATGTATACGCACGCATCACAAACGTATCCCTTTGAGTAGCCCGTGTTTTTTATGCAAACTTTTGAATCACCCTGAAGAATAGTTCTTTATTTCCATAATTAAATACTTTATTTTGATAAAGTATTTAATTAAATGTATAATATTAATGCCTCTCTTTTTTTATATATAAATTTTGCACTGTTAATTAAAACATTAATGTAAAATATTCACTGTTCATAAGTCATCATCTGTTATTTCGTATATATTTAGAGATTTTTAAGACTGTAAATAACCTCTAAATACTCCAAAAATATCAAAATAATCTATAAAATCTCTAAATAAACATATAAATAACTTCTAAAAGCTTCAAACAGTATTCTTAAGATGTACAGTATAGTATATGAATACATTCTAATCATTTCAAAATAAGTATTTATACGTTTTAAATTACGTTTATAATAATAATAATAATAAATAAATTACTTGGAAAAATAAAATTAATCTAAATTCATTAATAATCGATTATTTAGATAATTTAATTTGTTTTTCATTTCATATGTCTTTNTAATATTTTTTTTTTAAACTTATAAAATCAATGAAAAATTATTCTGTCACATATAGTTGATTTTTATAATAATAAGAAGAAAAAAGTTCAAAGTTATATTGAATTAAGATAAAAATCTTGACAACATTTTGAAGAATAAAAATCAATATTCCTTGCAAAGTAACAAATTAAAATCAATAATTCCAATTCTCCAAACAATGTATTAAAGTTTTATCGATATTTTAATTTAGATAAAAAATAATAATGTTCTTTTGTATTCATTGTATAGTTTTTCTATAGAATATTTGCATTAATTAATATTAAACTCACCTTGAAAGTGTTACAACAGATGGAAATTTAGGAGAAACCATGCAACACATAGGTGATAACTCAGTAGGAGTGTAACCAGTGGTAAAAAATGAATGTTTAAGAATTTGTTCAATAGAAGGCCTATCAGTTGGTTTGTTTTTTAACATTTTCATTATAAGATCAGCTGCCGGCTCAGAAATATTATCGGGAAGACTGTACTTATTGCCAACTATACGAGCATAGGTTTCAGTTAATGTGGAAGTCTCAAAAGGAGGTTGGCCAACTAACATAGCATACCTAAAAATCGACATTAAAAATATTATTTTACAAAATTTTATATATAACTAATCAATATTTATTTTACACGGATTTCACTTACATAATACAACCGACAGCCCAAATATCCGTTTCCATATAATGGCCCTCCATATTCAATACTTCTGGAGCAATATAATTTGGAGTACCACAAACAGTCCTTTAAAAATTAAGTAAATAAAATATAAAAGATCATTTTAATAATTAATTTAAATATACACATTTTCTTAGAGAAGTATTTAATTACATTTTTGCATTCTTTTCACTTTCATAGTAAGTAGCAAGGCCAAAATCTCCAATTTTGAGTTCCATATTTTCAGTTAGGAACAAATTTCCCAATTTTAAATCTCTATGAATAATTCCTTTTCTGTGAATATAATCCACACCTTCTAAAAACTGAAGCATGAAGTATCTAACTTCTGGTTCTGTTAGTAACTTTCTGTTCTTCAAAACATGGACTAGTGACTAAAATAGAAAAAAAAATTATTATTTATTCTCATTAAAATATTTTTAAAAAGCATTAAGTTTAAAATAACCAAAGAATTACGAAAATTTCTATCTTAAAATAATGTTAAATACTATATAAAACTGATTTTTTTTTTCAGTAAAGAAATCATTTCAAGCTTTATATATCATTAATTATCTTTCACAAAAGAAATTAAAGTTACTTCCTAATTTAGTACATTGTTCCCTGATTATACCAGCTTTAACAATCAAAACATTCACTTTTAAATTCATATATCTTTTCGTTTCCTCTGTGTAACAGCTGGTCAACGTGAGTAATCAATTTCTTAGAATGAAACTGATCAATTAAAAGATCTGAATTAAGTGACGTCACGACAGCATCTAGTAGCACCTGCCACTGTGTTTAGGGTCATATGGAGGGTCAAAACTTTCCGTTAATTAAGCTTAAAGAACTTCCGTGATAAAAGGAAAAAGTCCCATCCCGATTATGAAGGGAACTAATTTTGTTCATTAGATTCGGTTTAGTTCGCATCCTTTGTTTGTAAGAAAGAAGAATGAAGCAAGACTAAACGTTTTCCAAGTCGTTGAACTTAGATTTTCTCATGGCATCATTTCGAACAGATCGAACAAAACGTGATTAAACGGTCTGGCGATGAAGCGCTCTTTATTTATCTTACGAAGATATAAAAAAAGAATACAAACACACGAATCTACATATAAAAATATATATACATATTTTACCTTTCTTGTGCAATATTCTAGAACGATATAAACGTGATCGTCATCTTCGAAGAAGTGATGAAAACGGACGATCCGTTTATGCGTTAAGGAACGATGTAATTCAATCTCTCTCAATATCTAAAAGTAAAATTAAATCGATAAATAATTTATACATTNGACACACGCAATTTTATATATTATTATAGTAAAAAAAAAATTTATTTTTGTAAGACGTTCTGAATTTCATATTATCTTCAATAATAATACTTATTTTACTTCCTAGATGGCAGTAGATTCGTGAAATTTCCCCAGACCTTGAAATTTCCTAGAACTAGCTTTGAATAATAATTACACATTTACCTTTATCTCTCTTTTAATTTCTGTAATTGTGTTTAACCAACTTTGAATTTTGGATCTTAGGGATGAGAGAATCTTATGATTGATCCATAAAGGAGTTCAACATTATAAAAACTCCAGATTCACAGCTTATTATTGTCATGACAATCAAAAAGACAGTTATAAAACATGTTTTATGACTTTTTTTTAATATTTGGTTCTCCATTTCTTTCTCATCAATTGCTGTAAGAAATCAATCCCTAATACTGGAGTCATTGATCATTCTTGACACATTAAAACGGAATATCCATCATCACTATTGTTTTATTCAAAAATTAATATATTTATCAATTTAGACAAATGCAAATGAAATTTTTATCATTTGCTAACTTAGAATACGTTAAATCCGAACGTTTACTTCCGGCAAGATGCTAGGGTTTAATCGTTCGAGTCTATCTACAAAAAAAATTTCCCGAATGTTGGATTGGTTACGGAGGACCAATTTACACCACTAGATTTTCTTTGGGGTTTGTCAAAAACAGGGTGTACACAACAAAGGTTTGTGACATTGAAAAACTGAAAAGATGAATTGGTGAAGTCTGTGGAGGAATAACTGCAGAAATGCTCTTACAAATGGGTCAAAATTAAATGCCACCGGGATAGTTTATGTACCACACTGGAGCTCATAAATATTTTACACTTTAAATAAATTTTCTAATGGCCTAGTAAATAAAACAGCATACGTGAGAGTGCTTAACTATGTTCTTTTTATTCCTCCTCAAAATGTGCTCAATAATTTATACTACCCTGTATATTGATCATAAGTTAAATATAATTTAAAAATTTTTGGAATAAAAAAGAAATTACTACTGTTTAAAATTGAGAATGTAATGCTAGAATTTCAAATCAAAAACAAATTAAAATACAAATTTTTAATTTTAGACTTTTACTGAAACAATTCAAAATTATTATAAAAACTTTAGAGTTTATATAATTTGCATTTATTACAGTTTTAATACCAAAATGCAATTGTTTAGTACGTTGCTGAAATATTCTATTACAAGATAATGGAAATAAATTACCGTAAAATTATTTCTGAAATTAAATTTTCTTTCTTCCAAAATAATAATTTTCCAAACTCAAAACTTCAAGCAATACACAAAAACACGCAATCTCCAAAATTACTTTTTATTGACACTTGAACTTTTTTATAAAGACAATACAATATTCCTAAAATTAAATAAAGACAATATTCTACATTAGTTTCACAATATAAATAGATTTAAATTTTCTCATAATAAGAAAACACAATAATTACTTTAAATATGAAAAAACAAAGCATTAAATTAAGCCATGGAATTATTTTCATATCACATTCTGTGAAACAAAACATTAAATGTGGCAGTGTACTTTGGAACTTAGCTGATTTAATAATATATAAATAAAAACTTTTATATATATAATTTTAAATATAATTCAAAGTTTATCTGGAATTCTTAAAAAAATAATAATAATCAAAATCAATCACAGGAAATTCTAAATCAAGAAAACCAAAACGCTGCCTCGATAAATACACAAAACACAGACATTTATATACATTTATATACACTGTCATTGATTGACAATTTGAGTGATTATGACAAAAAATAAATTACTATCACAGCTAGGAAGACAGCATGATCGGCATAGGCACCAGGCCAATACGAATGTTATGTCTGTAAGAAAGTATCATTGGTCTCAAATATAAATATCACGACATTATTTGAGCAACATAAATATAGATGGTTGATATGTGCATTATAATCTTAGCCAAAGTAACTATACTACCACTATTATTATTAATTATAAAATTAACTCTCAAAAATCAAGATAGAAAATGATCTAATTCTAATTTCCGAATCACTTAAAATCTGGTTTAATGCTTAATAATTTTCAAGTATAAGATTTTATGACTGAATGAATGTTAAAAGTTAGATTTTATTATTGTAATATTCATTTTCAGAATAAAGTTAAATAATCTTTGCAAAGTAAATGTAGGTTAGTGATATATGTACTGTACTTAATATGGTTAATATATCCAATCAAACAATTTTTTTTACTGTGCTCCTGACAATGAACAAAGCAGTTTGAATTAAGTTTATGTTTGATCAGCTTTTTTAACAAGTGTATTGTTTTTAACATACAGTGAACTCCTATATAACATGAATTTGTATAATGCAATGAAAAAATTGCAACTAGTACTCAAACAAAATTTGAATTTTGTCATTCAGAGATTTTCTTCTTCAACTTCTAGGTCTAGGTTTAAACTTGCATAAAATAGTCTGATAATAAAGTCCTTGATAACATGATTTCCTTAATCTTTATCACACAACTAGGTGCACAGGTTTACACTAGGCCAGGGGTGGCCAACAGTTTTTGCCCCCAGGCCGAATTGGAAAGAAAACTTTTTCGATGGGCCGAACCCTAGAGGCTGGCCTAGGAAGATTTTGAGGTGGTGCGAGATCACATTGTGGTGTCACCCTGTAGAGACTAAATTGTACATAGAGATTACAGATACATTTTTCACATTATCATGCATTATCAACATTCTACGCTGTACTTAAGAGATTTGTAGTGGAGAGTTAACTCAATGTGCAGTGAGTTGTTGACTTTGTTTTTAGGCATCAGAATTTTTCATCGAGCTATTCGGACTTGAGTAGCTAATATTGAAATATTAATCATGGACCGCATAAATTTATTAGACAGGTGGGATTTGGCCCGCGGGCTGTATGTTGGCCATGCCTGCACTAGGCTTTTTTTACATCACACTGTATTCTGCAATACCTTAGATGCTGATACTCATTTCATGCATATGCCCCTCATATGTCAGCTTTATCTTAGACATTTAGCATAGTGATGCAAACTATTATATACACTTTTAAAAACACATATATACACCATTAAAATTATCATGATTTAGTGCACTAAACAGAACTTAACATTCTTCGGCACTACCAGTTTCTACCAGGTTTTTCTTAATCTCATTCCTATAATGCAGAATGTAACCTCTGCATTGTAAGGGGATCCACTGTATTTTAAAATATATTAAACCAAACATAAATCTAACTCAAAGTGCTTTGATATGAGCAAAACATATTTGCTTTGAATAGATAAAATATTCTTTAATTTATGTTATAGATATAAAAATTAATGAATGAAAAACATTTAATCTCTTCTGATTTCAGTTAAACTGTTCTTTTTATCATTTTGACATTTCAATAAAAAATGTTATTGTATTATTATGTATACAGTCGACCCCCCTACAAGATATAGATACGTTCCAATTTATTAGGAATCCGATTTCTTACAAGTTGTTCCAATCACAGCCCGACACATGTCAAGTTTACGGACTACAGCTGATTGAAAGGTTTTCTTCCATAAAATTAATCGATTCTACACTAATCCGACTCAACATTTCCAAAATACGTATATTTTTTCGTAGTTTTATAGGAATCGTAATTATAGGGGAGTCGACTGTAATTAGCAGTGACACTAAATTTAACTAAATTACACAATATTCTTTTCTTAAAATTTAAAAATTTTGAATGCAGGAGGTTTTATTTTAGACACTTTTAGAGAAAAAGGGTCAAACTTTTTGTTTCCAAATGTACTTAATTGGAAATGACAAATGTACGAATGATATATAGATGCATGACAAAAATTTTCCCAATGTTTCAATTGAAATATTTTTTTTAACTTATCATTTCTAAACTAATTTCTTGTGTTTTAATGTTTTAGAAAAGATAAATTTGAAGAAATGTATATTGTGTATGTGATATATATTGTAAACATTTTACATTAATGTATGAATTTTTTAAAATTTAAGATTTTTGAGAGTTAATATCATACTACAGTAATTAAAAAAAAACAAAAAAAATGGCACACTTACTGGAATGAATGAAACAAAATATTGTCTCAAAAATAAACATCTGAAAGACAAAAATAGCATTTGCACAAAATATTTCCTATACAGCTTGCATTACATAAAACATCTCAAAAATATATGTATATATCACAATACAAGGACACCATTTTTTTTCTCTTTATAAATAAAAGTGATAATGATTAAAAATCTTTTGTTTCAGCAAATTGCTGAAGAACAGACAGTGCGTACTGAAGTCTTGTTCTTATACAAGGTTCACACCCTTGCTGTGCAATGTCGGATAACAGATAGCTAGTAGATAAACGTTCTTCGCTTATATATGTTACAATTCCTTTCCTTTGATCAATACTAATCACTATTTTGGTATGATCTTTAAAAAAGTTTATCTATAAAAACATAAATAAAATCATTTCAGTTTAAGATATTTTTTAATTCAGTGTGTAAAGACATTTTAGTATTGACAATCACCTGCACTGTACCGGTACTTAGCTGCATAAGAATGGCATGAGATGTCCGCACCCATCGTTTCATGTGAGGAATGTGACTTTTACCTTTTTGTGGAGAATATTCAATCATGTGAGGTTCTCCACCCTAACAAAAATATAACAAATTCAATTCAGAATTTAGTTATTATAGAAATATATATATATATATATACACTGTATTTAAAAATTAAATGATTATTCACCTCAGTAAGATTTTCATCCATATACTGAGCAAAATATTTTAATAAAGTATATTTTTCAAGCAAGCTTGAAGGTATATTAGTAATAGTAAAAATACTAAGTTTTCCATTTAAGTCATGATATTCAATATGCCTGAAAGAATATTGTAAAAAGTTTAAACAATGAAAATATAATCTGATAGAAAAAAAAAATGTGAGTAAAGTCAAGTACTTACGTACGATCTGATGACAAACTGATTTTACTAGTGTCATTAAAAAGTACACCAATACTGTAATCTGACAACTGAAAACCAAACCCATATTTATTAGAATAATCAATCCATTTTGTCACAAATACAACCAAATGGTCATCAATTGGTGTTGGATTGGTTAATTCATCTGAAACGAAAATTTGTACATAATACTTAATATTAAATTAAATTAAAATAAACTACAATTTTAAAATTACAAATTTTATATTTATTTAATATAAAACTTCATTTCTACATTTTGTTATGAATTTAACTTTCAAAAGAATTAACTTTATATATATGCTGTATTCTGAAGTTATTTGATTATTCCAACCTGAAATCTAGGCTATAAATAATGTCACACATTACAGTTTACATTAATGATTACAAAAATAAAATTTTTTTTAAAATGTCTTATATAGTGCAAATTAACCTCTTCAACATTAACTGGATTGATACCTATAGCTAAGTACACCAATAAAAACCTTGACAATCAAGTAAATAATTTTATATAAATTCAACANAACAAAATCTGTTTTTAGAAATAGGTCAAATTTTTTTTTAAAGTGAAATACAAATAATAAAAAAATCCTTTCTTCCTCCCTTAAAAAAAAAAATGGTTCTTTAAACAAAACTCTAATTTTTTTTTTCAAATAAGAAGTGATCAAATCCTTACATTTAACTGGTTGTTTTGAAATACCAGAAAGTACTTTGACGTCTGAAAACATTAAAATTATTCTTGACTCGCTTCATTTCCTCTTGGGGAGAGCGTTAGAACTCGTTGAAATTTCTAATAAAAGAAGAAAATAGCCGATAAACGAAGTGTTTGAAGAAAAGAAACAGTATCAAGTCAAAAAAAAGAGCAAAGAAAATTTCTTTCTGGAAGTAGAAAAGTTGAGAACTCTGCAAGATACAATAGAAGGTTGTCAAGGCTCATCAATTCTTTGAATGTATCTTTGCCATTGAAGAAACAAAAAAAAAGGAAGAGGGGGAAGAAGAAACAAAAAAAAAATAAAAATAACTTTTTCAAAATCGAATGATTGAAATAATGAAACCTAAAATGACTCCTATACCTTTGCCTTTTATTTACAAATGGCAATCGTAGTAAAAATGATTGTTTATGTCGCGAGTTTAGAAAAAGAAACAGTCTTCATCTGCTACGTAATTAGTTGGTAGCTTTACCACATAATCCGCTTTCCAATAACTTCTCCTGCTTTTCCCTCATTTTTTACTTTTTTTTTTATTTTTTTGTTGGAGGGTTTTTCTACCCACTTGACCAATAAGGATTTTTGTATTTTTTTTCTTTTGTTTTTTTTTTTTTTGGTGGAGTAAAATATCCGCTTCATTAGTTGTACACAATGAATTTGCTAGTGTTGGGAAATCGCCTATTGCTATCCATGTGACAGTTAATTAACGAAGGACCATTGATGGCAATGGTTCAATCACCGCAGAAACATGACAGTTTAAGACTTTCTTCAATGGAGTTTTTCATCTAATTACGCTTTCTTCGAAACTGTAATCTCTTAGAATCACTAAAATGCCACCGGAGTATTAAGTGGGACGAGATACATTAGAAGACAAATTTCTGTAGAGAGTGGAAAGACTCTTATTGTCTACTCATAAAAATGTATAAGAAGTGATGCTTAATTAATATCCTTACTTCCAAAAATTCTATTTTTTTTTTCTCTCTCTCTTTTTTTTAATTCTTAAATTTAAATTTATGTATAAAAAATGTTTCGGTAATTAATATTATGATAGTAGAATAAATGTGATCAATGGGGAAGACTGAATAAATTTCCTTTAACATTTAGTTGTAATTTAGATTAACTGTGTTGTTTTTTTTAAATATATTTAATTTTTAAGATGGTTAATTTACTTAAAATAATATGAAAAAATTATTTTAAACATTACTTAAATAATAAAATAGACGAATTAATGCGATAAATTGGACCCTACATAAAACGCTTCGTTTAGCATTACTTCAGCGATGCTTTACTAAAGTAGCATTGCAATAAAACACCATTTTTGAGATAATTTAATATCTGAACCGTTAAAAAACGGCGTAACAACAGAAAAAAATGAAATCTGAAATTATTTCTTTTCATTTCAAAATGATGGTATGAGTTATAATAACGCCCATACACAATGGAGGAAAAAAAAATGCCACAAGAAGATAAAATTATAATAGTAATAATAGTAATTTCCTCCAGAAACAATTGTCTCTCTTTTTTTTTTCCTTGGTAAAAATGGAGAGTCATTACTTTGTTACAAGCAGAAGAAAGAGTGGAGAAGCAATGATTTTTGGGCCTTTGTTTAAGATAAGACTTTGGCTGTTGTGACAACAGATAAGGTACCAAATTGTCTGAAGTACCTCACCAAACAAGAACGATGACTCTTTGCCAGATTAAAGGACAAACTCCATATTGACTGGATTCGGCTAATCAAAGTGAAGAGAAAATATTGAATGATGTTCACGCAGATCAATCGTGTCTCACGCACACACCATCCTAGAAGAGAAGATAGCGAGTGATGGATATCCGTGGTTATCGGAACCTGAAGTGGCACCAAGAAGGAAAAAAAAAACATTGCCACTCTATCCCATTCCCTGATAATACAGTTTCGAACGGAGATTAGATTCGATAGGTGTTTCTTTGGCCCTAACCCGAAATTTTCTTTATAGACATAATTTTTTTTTTTAGTAACAAAATTATCGATTATTTAATAACTCACGAACCCATATTCGAGTCTCTATTTTAGTTAAAGATTCCGAGCACGTTTAATCCATTTTTCTCTTTTGCAAATGCTTAAAAAGTAATTGTATGAATTTTAGCAAATTAGAGATGATTATATTTTATTGGCTATACGAGGCTTTGACACGTGATTTACTTTTTTTCCTATATTTAGATAAACGTGACGATTTTTTAAGGAAATGATCATCGTTACTCACGCGTTACTTCTGTTGGTTTTAGTTTAATTAAAGTGAAGATTTATGACTATCGAAAGATATTTACTTTATTCATTTTCCCTCCCACACATAAAAAAAAATATGTCTTCTGAATTTTTATCCATTTATTTTTAAATAAAATTAAGAAGAAATTAAATTATATTTAGACCTATATATATATAGAAGCTATATATAGATAATTATTTTTGCACGCCATGAAAACTTGGATAATAATAAAGGTTTTCCATCATTGGCTTGCATTGCTGCCTGGCGTTATACAAATACTGAGGAAAATGTCATGAGCCAGTTATCCATTATAGAGAATAAGCAGTTACAAACGAGCATCTAGCAAGCCAGGTGTGGCGTTAATAAGTCAATGACAGAAACGACTTTCGTTTCATCTGCTAATTTTGGATTAGAATGACCAAAAGCTATAGGGTGGGATGAAAAGACATACATCAACTATCATTGTAATCTTGGCCTGCACGTGAATAGTAAAATTTCCGTCCCACAAAGTGACAAACGACGTGTCTCACGAAAGCTGTCATCGTGCAAAGAGGAACAGATCGGGGGAGGGATTTGCTTGATTAGTAGCTACGCTCCTCCATTATGCTTTACTTAGCTCGTCTCTTATTAGTTACAACTGTTAGTACAGAGGCTTTGTTATTTAAAAGTTGGTAGCAAAAAATCGATGAGATTAACTCCAACATTATAATTTCATCGCTATTGTGTACGTTTATAAAGATCCATAAATCAATAACCTGTACTTGCTAATTACATTAATTTAACCAATTTAGACCTGTTAACCTTATGAGTGAACTCTAGGGTTAAGAATATTAATGGTCCACCCATCTATTATGCTACAATTATCTCAAATTAATTTATCTTTACAAATTTGTCTGGTCCGTTTGTCGTCCCGCAATAGGCGTTTATAAATATTTTTCGACGTTCGTGCCATCATTTTTTTTCTTTTTCTTTTTTCCCTCCCTTAAAATATATAATTAAAATCATTAAAAATTTTACTTTAATGTATTAATTTCGGAATAAATTTTGACGTAAATTGCTTTTATTTTTTAAAAAAAAATTAATATATTTTGCATCATTTTTAACTGAATTTAACGAGCGTTATATCTTACGTAACACAAGCCAAAGAGCTACAAAATTAGCAAATATATAAGTTATAAAGATAAAAAATAAAACTATATTATATATATATATANAGAAGAAGAAAAAAAATATATATATATATATATATATATAACGTTCATAATAAATCACTGTATTTATTGTTAATTTCCAAAATAAACGTCAGACAATAAAAAAATATATATATAAAAGAAAAATTTTGACCGCTCTGAACCCTCTCGGTATGACTAGTTCAATACATGAACTCCATTCTCACCACAGTTTCTAGACTTTGACAACAGATGTCCATTTATTGTCGTATCTGGAATAAAACCCATACATTGTGATATATTTAGTAAAGAGGTCTCGCCACTCTTATAGCCACTACGTTGTCTTAGTGTGCTGAATCTATTGTCGATATGTGGTCGCTCTTCTACTTTGAGCAGTTCTAGACAAATGTTTCACTCTTCTGTAAAGACATAAAGTTGTTTCTGGAGATTTCTTTCTCCGTTATGATCCCACATTCTTTTTTTTTTACCGTAGCAATCAACTTCGCTCTATTGTATTCTTTAATCAATTCTTCTTGTAGCAATTGCCTTTTTTACTTTCTTCCAAACTGATTTTTACTTCCAAAAATGAAAAAAAAAAATAGAAAGTAAAACACACGTATATAGAATATATACCTTATATATACATACACATATATAACAGAGAGAGAAAGAATAAAAAAGTATATAACTGGTTGAAGTTTAAATTTTTATTCGTCGAACTAAGTCGTGTAACAGAATGTGCATGCGAATTTTTCTATTATGATAACATTCGCATCGTTTTCACCCCCCTTACAACACAGATTCTTCACGCCTTAAGGGTAAAAAAAAAATATTGTATACTAAGAAGCAGAAAAAAGAAAAAAAAAATTAACTTATCCGAAATAGAAACATAACGATTTATCATAGAATCTATCCAATAAAATTTCAAGACTATAAAGTGTAGACGATGTTAGATAATTATTCGAATTAACAGCGTCATAAAAGAATCTTCTTTTCTCGTTGTAAAGCGTTATAGATTCAAAATAGTTTTCCAGCAGTTAAAATCAGTAAACCATTGGGAAACATTTGGTATCACCGTGTCCAGATTGTATGCAGTCCTCTGGGAGAACAACGATATTTATCTTGTCATTGCACATCCTCTGTTGACAGTTTGGGAAATAACAAAACCTCAGATAACATCTGTACCGCATCTCCCCATAGGTGAGCATCCACCTTCTCTTGTTCGACTTGATAAATTTGATCAAATTTTCTTTTATTACAACTTTAAATTTGTTTCCTGATTGCAGTTAACTTTACAGGGGAATACTTTGTTTACTTTCAATTTAAAAACCTTTAACTTTCATCCTTATTA